TTTGGCTCAGCGGTTAGAGCGTCGGCCTGCGGTCCGGAGAGACCCGGGTTCGGTTCCCGCTAAGGGCACGTAATTCGGTTGCAGTTTGTCCCCAGCCCTGGTTGGTCGTGCGGGTGGCAGCCACTCGATGTGTCCCTTCACATCGATGTTTTTCTCTCTCTCTCTCCCTCCCACTCTATCTGTACGAAAAATGGAAAAATATCCTCAGGTGAGGATAAAAAAATAAATAAATAAAATAAAATAAAATAAAATTTTAAATATTTGTTCTTTCACTCAATCTGATCATTATTATCTTATTATGTTACAGACACTGATTTAAGCATAGGAGAACATAAATAATAGCTAATGTTTATTGAGCACTTAGTATATGCCAAACAGTGTGCATTTATTAACCAGCTTAATCTCTATAAGAACCTTATGAGGTAGATATTGTAATTACCATCATTTTATATGAGAAAATTGAGGTATAGAGAAGGTAACTTGCTCAAAATCATATAGCTGGGAAGTTGAATATTCTGCTTTAGTTAATATGGATATAACAAGGTTCCTTGCACTCCAAGAATCTCATGGTATACCAAGGAAGAAGACACTGGTAAGAATAGTAACATTTATTAAATGCTTTACATAGGTTATCTCATTTAATCCTTACAGCAACTTTACTGTTATATTTTGATGTAGTGATGAGGAAATTTGTTTGAGTTAGCAACTTCCCCAACTCGAATTCAAAATCAGGCAGATTACCCTGGCTGGTGTGGCTAAGTTGGTTGAGCATCATCCCATGCACCAAGAGGTCACTCACTGGATTACCGGTCAGGGCATATGCCCAGTTTGTGGGCTCGATCCCTGGTAGAGGGTGTGCAGGAGGCAGCCAATTGATGTTTCCCTCTCTCTCTCAAACAAAAACGTATTTAAAAAAATCAGGGAGCTTGCTAGGAAAGCCCCTGCAACTGCAGCACCACCCTGACCACTTTGATGGGTGACATAGAATCTAGACAAGTGCATTGGCGGAAAGAAGCTCCATAGAGCAGGGGGATATTTGAGTTGGGCCTTGAAGGATGGGTAGAAAACTAACTTTTCTCACACCCCCTTAGTATACAGTGTAGTGAAGAGATAGTGGTGAGTTCGAATCTCAGCTCCACCATCTTCCCAGCTGAATAACTTGCATTTATCTTCTTTGACCCTCAATTTCCTTAATGGTTAAATGGGGACAATGAAAACCGCTGAAACACCAAGGGGAATAAATGTGATTGGATATAAAAATATCCAGCGAGGTGTCTGGCAGGCAGCATAGGAGCTCAGCGGTTGAGATTGTGGACAATTGGATATAATAGCTACAGCAAGTCCCTACAGAGCACTTATCACATGCCAGGCACCATTCCAAGCACTTGACATAAAATTACTTATCAATGATCCTATTAAAAAGATACTATTTTTAGACCCATTTTACAGAGGAGAAACTGAAGCACAGAGAGGTTAAAAAGTTATCTGAGCTAGCCTGGCCAGTGTGGCTCAGTGGTTGAGCATCGACTTATGCACCAAGAGGTCACTGGTTCAATTCCTGGTTAGGGCACATGCGTAGGTTGTGGGCCGATTCCTAGTTGGGGTGTGCAGGAGGCAGCCAATTGATGTTCTCTTTCATTGATGTTTCTATCTCTCTCTCCCTCTCCCTTCCTCCTCTCTCTTTCTCTCTATCTAAAATCAATAAAGAAAAAAAAAGTTATCTGAGTCAGCAAATGACAGAGGCAGGGTTGGAACCCAAGCAATCTGACCCCAGAGTCCCCTGTACATAGTACTTGACTCTACTGCCTTAATTGCAGAAAGTGGGGTTGAGACGGTCAGCCAGCAGCACCACAGAATCAAGAGTGGGAGGAGGGAAGTGTGTCATCAGGAGAGACCTTCTGGAGGCTCCATGAAGGTGGCATTTGAGCAAGGACCTGAAGGAGGCAAAGGAGTGGGTATTGCAGGAATTCTGGGGACAGAATGTTTTGTAGAGGGATAAGAGCAAGTGCAAAACCCCGAGGCAAGGTGTGTTTGGCATGTTCAAGGAATAGCAAGGAGACTATATGGCTGGGGTTGAGAGCAAAGCAGAGAGTATTAAGAGAATGTCAGAAGTGTGTGTTGGGGGGGTGGAAGGAGAAGAACACGTCTCTACCCATCTTCAAGATTAGTGTGTGTCTGTTATAAAAAAACATGAGTATAGAATGCAAAATATGCATGCTTTTCAAAGTTCGAAGATGAGACTTGAGGTCAATGTGCTTATGGACCCTCCCCTGCATAAACATTCTCTCCCTCTGTCATCCCCCTCCCCAGACCAGCTCTGCCCATCCATGTGAGTGAGCCACATGGGAGCGGACACTGGGAAATGTTGGTGTGAGTGGCTGTGACCAAGTTTCCTTTCTTTTTTTTTTTTTTTATCCTCACCCAAGGACATTTTTCCATTTTTTGTTCAGGTAGAGTGGGAGGGAGAGAGAGGAACAGAAAGAGAGAGAGAAACATCGACGTGAAAGGAACACATCGAGTGGCTGCCACCCGCACGGCCGACCAGGGCCGGGGACAAACTGCAACCGAGGTACGTGCCCTTAGCGGGAACCGAACCCGGGTCTCTCTGGACCACAGGCGGACGCTCTAACCGCTGAGCCAAACCGGCCAGGGCCAAATTTCCTTTCTTTCTTTTTCTTGATTGATTTTAGAGAGAGAGGAAGGGAGATGGAGAGAGAGATAGAAACATTGATGAGAGAGAACGTCGATTGGCCGCCTCCTGCATGTCCCCCACTGGGGATTTGGCCCACAACCTGGGCATATGCCCTAACTGGGAATCGAACTGGCGACCTTTTGATGCATGGGTCAGCACTCAACCACTGAGCCACACTGGCCGGGCCTATGACCAGGTTTCCAAGAAGAGCCTCTGGGTCTGGGCCTGGGAGATCATCACTACCTCAGGGCTCTGTGGAGGGTAATGCCACTGGCTTGCCCAGCTAAGATCTGAGTTTAGTCAGTGAGGCCTAAAAATCCCTAGTCTGCTCAGTCTTCCAGGCCCTGGTCATCTCCATATCCTGGTCATCACCACAGTGAATATTTGCTGATTCAAACCGAATTTGATAAACCTTCAGACACACCTCTGAAGCCAGCCTTGAAATAGTCCTTTGTCTTAGGGCCAACTCTGGGATCTCCTTTGAGATTCCCTTTGATCTTTTAGATCTGCATCTTCTTGGATCTGCTTTGAACTGGTTCACCATTTTGGTTCCTTTTCAGACAGGGGGGAGGCTGAAATGGAACTTTGGTACAGCTCGTGATTCCATGAAAAACTAACACTGGTTTCAGTTCAGAGTCCAGCCAGGCGCTCAGTTTGTTTTTGGCTCATGTCCCCATTTAGGGTCAGCGTCCTGGTGTTTCTTTCTTTCTTCCTTTTCAACAAATAATCTGGTCCTAGAGGGAGTTGACTATGATGCCATCCCGGCCTGCAGGAGTAAACAGGAACAATAGAAGGCCCAATGCAGTGATAATAGCCATCACTGACTGAACAGGACACAAGGACCAGCAATTTTCCTCGTCTTAGCTGTAATGAAAGAGGTTTAGTGGTTTAGGGACCTTGAAGTTTCAGAACGGTTTGACTCCAGAGCCTGTGCTCCTAACCCCTGGAGTTCGTCCACTGCGTCTTTATCAGAGTCCCTACAAGAAAATGGGAGCAACTTGCTTTGGTCTGGGAGAGGAAGAAGCTACAGGTTTCATTGTATTTTTATGTAGACATTTAATTTGTTCAAACATTAAACCATTCATGAAACTTAACTGCTATGCACTAAGGATGTGGAGACAAACCTATGTTTGGCCTTTTCATGACTCATCATTCATTCATTTTAACCAGGGAAGTAAGGAGTAGCTGTGAGTCAAATATTACAGAAAGTCAGAAGAGGGAATAAGTAACTCTTTCCAGAAGGGGTGACACTTGCCCAGGCATTCAACAGCAGCAAACCTGGACTGGCTCAAAGTATCACAGCCCCTGTCCTCAGTGCAGTTTTTCTGGTTAGAGGATCCCTACATCAAAATTGTCCCGGTGCTTGTTAAAATGTGAATTTCTCCCTTCTCTGGAGGAGAATCTGAGAATTGGATAACACAGGTCTAGGAGTAGCACCCAGGTGGAACTGATGCACACTCAAGTTTGCCAGGTGAATGCGGGGATGAAATTGGTCCAGGCAGGAGGAACAGCATGTATGATGGTTTGGGAGTCCTTCGTGGCCTGCAGAAACTGGGGTTGCAGTTCAAGACTAAGTTCGGGGAGGAGCGGAATCCTGTTCGTACTGTTTGTCACCTCGGGCCTGGAACACACTTTGGCCTCCTGAATATTTGAGATATATTCACTTGGCAAATTTGAGTGTTTATCAGATTCACCTGGGTGCTAGGCTGGCTCCCAAAATGGAAGTGACAAGGGAGTCAAAGGGGAAAACAAAGACGTCAGAGGAGGGAAAAAAATGTGTCTCTAAGGGGATAAAAACTTTCCAAGAAGTTGTCCTGGAAAAAGCAGTTCCATCTAACAGAGGGAGGTGGGGAAGTAGCTGCTTCAGGAAAGGACAATGAATCTTGAGGATGCAGCTAGGGAGATGGCAGGAAGCGCCTTCTCACCTCCCCAGGCGGGCTGAAGGCATGAGGTCACCTGGCACGACTCCAGCAGCAGCTGCGGGGCCGCGCCCGAGCTGCGGCGGGAGGCGGTGTCAGGCTCCGGCCCCGGGGGGACTTTCCTTTCCACCCGTTCGGTAGGCGTGGCTCGGAGGCCCTCTCACAGGCCACGCCCCGAGCGTGGGCCACGCCCCCTAGCTGCCTCCGGGCGCTGGGACGGGCAGTCCTTCTCTCCCGCCGGAGGCCACGCCCCGAGGTCCAGCAGTCCCATTTCCTCCAGAGTTCAGAGACTGCGGCCTTGGCCCCGCCCCCAGCGAGGCCCCGCCCCGTGGCTTGAAGCGGCTCGGGCTGCGTCCGCCCAGAGTCGCGCTCGAGGCGTGGGGTGGTGCTGAGGAGCTGAGGCTGCAGCGAGCTCGACGCCGGGACCGTCCGGGAAGGCGCCGCGCGAGCCCACACCAGACCGCCTCCGGAGCAGAGCAGCCGCCGCTACCCCTGTGCGCGGAGTCAAGTCGAGCCGGCCATGGCGTTGTCGATGCCGCTGAACGGGCTGAAGGAGGAAGACAAAGAGCCCACCATTGAGCTCTTCGTGAAGGTGAGCGCTCGCCCGCCGTCCCGCCCCGCTGAGTCCCCGGCGCCCGCCGGGCTGCGGGGGGCGGTGTCCCCGCGCGTGGGGAGCTCTTCAGCCCCCGCGGCGCCCCCGCGTGGCGCGCAGCACCCGGGGCTGAGGGGACGCGCTGCTCCCGCGCCCCCGGCCCATTGTCTCGGGCCCATCGGCGCCTTCCCGCTGCCGAGGTCGGTCCAGGGAGCCAGGGTGGGAGCGGGACCCCCGAAAGCTAGCACTCCGGGGCGGTCGTCACCGCCTCCAGGCGCGCGGGCTCCGGCGGACGCTAGACCGTGGTCCCGCGTGCGGGTGGGACCGGCTGCTCGCCCTCGGGCCCCAGAGTTCCCGGGGCGGCGTGGGTCCTGTCACATCCCCGCCCGGGGCCGGGACCCCGACCCCCATCCGCCCGTCGGCCCTCCAGTCCCACCCCGCCGGGCAGCAGGAGCCTCGAGCCAGCGGTGCGATGAACCGAACTTCTCCGGACGCTTCGGAAAGAACATTTCTCTCCCCGCTGGCATGAAACGAACTTTAATTTTCCATGCGATCTTAATTTATTTTTTAAAAAGAGCCGACCTTCCTGGGCTTCCGGAAAAGCCCGAGATTCCCAACTTGGGTTTTCCTGGTTTAGGCATTTTAACACCATCTGGTTTACTTGTTTCTCAAACGCGGAGTGTTTTGTCTGATGCAACGTTTTGGCTGCTCCCCTTGATGTTGCTGCCTCGGGAAGGCTGTGTGTACTCTTTTGTTTTGAAAGAAAAACTGATGCGGGCAAGAGTAACTTGCTTGGGCTTTAAAGGGTTGATTTCCCCCTCTGGTCGCTTCAATTTTTATATCCTGGAACTCCCTAATTTGCTTACAAATTCTACCCCTGTCCCCCTTTTTCTTTCTTTTTTCATTAATCTTTTTCATTTGAGCAAAAGAGAGAATAGACGTTAGGAACATCTGGATCCAGCTGCCTCCCTCAAAACTTCTTTAAAATCCTCTAGATTCTCTTAGTCACTGCCTTCAGCAGACTTATTGAAAGCAAGGCTCTGAAGGAAAGTTAACAGAAATCCAGAACAATTTTGTTCGTTTTCCCCTGAGTTTTTATGTTAACGAAGGGAAGACATTGAAGGGTGTGTTTGAGGCGTGGAGAGAGGAACTGGTCTATGCAAGTGATAGAAACAGTGCTTGTTTTAGGATTTTTTTAGGCTGTCGGTTTTGGAAACGTTAGGTCTAGGGAACTGAAACAGGAGATTGGTATAGAACTCCCAGAATGTCTTAAAAGAGTCTCAGTTACTTTGGGTGGCAGATAGAGTGCTCGGAGGTACAGAGGATGTAGCAAGGAAGATGAAGTAAGAGAAAGGAAGAGGAGTGGAAGGCAGCGTGGAGAAGGGCAAAGGGTGGGTCAGAGATTAGTGTTAATAAAATTTTACCTCACTAGGAATAGAATGGAATTTCCATGAACTCAAAAACACCGTATCTACTAAAAATCTAAAAAAAGACATGATACTTAATGGTGAAACTTTAGAAGTAGCATTACATTTAGAATCTGATATGGATACTGTCAGTGATGGTTTCTTTTCAGTATTGTACTGGAGGTCCTAGCCAATACAATAAGACAAGAAAATGAAGTATATGAATTAGAGAGGAAGAGATCAATGCTTAATGCCCTGCTTGCTATTTTAAAAGAATATTTTTATTGATTTGTAGAGAGAGAGGAAGTGAGAAAGAAACATCAGTGATCCACTGCCTCCTGCATGCCCCCTACTGGGGATCCAGCTGAAACCTGGGCATGTGCCCTGACCTGAATCAAACTGGTGCATGGAAGAATGCCCAACTGACTTAGCCACACTAGCCAGGGCCCTGCTTACTATTAATTTAACCCTTAAATTAGAAGGGGTGGAACATGATGCATTATTTCCCAAATTTGAATTATTTGCATACTCCCTTCTCAGTGTTCCATATTTGTGTTAGATTGGTATTATATTATTTATTAAATACAACTCATTTTTTAATTTAATTCTCACCTGAGGATTTTTTTTTTTTTAAATTGATTTTAGGGAGAAAGGAAAGGGAGAGAAACATTGATTGGTTGCCTTCAACAGACGCCCTGAATCTAACGTGAAACCTATGTGCCCTGATGGGGATTCAAACCTGCAACCTTTTTGATATACAGGACGTTGCTCCAACCAACTGAGACACTTGGCCAGGGCTCTATAACCCACTCTTTTTTTTTTTTTTTTAATATATTTTTATTGATTTTTTTAGAGACAGGAAGGGAGAGAGAAACATTGATCCACTGACTCCTGCACGCCCCCTACTGGGGATCGAGCGGGAAAGTGGGGCATGTGCCCTGACAGGGAATGGAACCCGGAACTCTCAGTCCATGGGACAACACTCAATCTACTGAGCCACGCCAGCTGGGCTCTACAACCCACTTCTAAAAAAACGTAGTTTAGTCTTAAGTTATAATACCTGTGAAACTGGATTTGGTGTGGTGATTATATTTCTTATAGTGATAAAAAAAAGTTTGTGAATCAGCTAAAAACATGCGATTTATCACTAGTTGTAAGGCTTTCTCACCAACCTTGGTGGCAGAGAAGTAGGGTTCAAGTCACAGTTCTTTACTCACTGTCTTGGTTACTCTGGTCAAATCGTTTTCCTCTCTGAGACTTATTTTTCTCAATTTTGAAGTAAGAGGTAAAATGTTTTCTGTTGCCCCTATACTGTGATTCAGTATAGGCAAAATTTTGTACTGATGTAAATCAGGATAGTTGTTTCTATTTTTTTTTTTTTACCCAAGGACATTTTTTCATTTTTTGTTCAGATAGAGTGGGAGGAAGAGGGAGAGAGAGAAAGAGAAACATCGACGTGAAAGGGACACATCGAGTGGTTGCCACCCGAATGACCCATCCAGGGCTGGGGACAAACTGCAACCGAGGTACGTGCCCTTAGTGGGAACCGAACCTGGGTCTCTCTAGACCACAGGCCAACACTCTAACTGCTGAGCCAAACTAGCCAGGGTGGGGATAGCTGTTTCAAAGGAAAAAAAGTGGGGGGTGTGGCAGATAAATTGTGGTAAAGAGTATTTTTCATTTCTTCTCAAAACCTATGTTCGGGAAATGCAAATGGGGGGAAACACCTTGTAAATATAGTTATTTTGAAAGCCAGTGAGGGGGCAGAGACCATGGTTGTCCATTGTGGTATTTTAAACCGTGTTAATTATTCTGCCAAAAGGTTTCTGTAGCGGAAAACTATTAAAACTATTATCTAAACTTAAAGCACATGAGTGACAAACATTGAGCTTACCTGTTTAGACAGCTTTAAATTTAAGAGAAATAGGCTAGGACCTTTCCAACTAGTGTGACTGAATGCAAAGTCACATTTCCCTCCCTGGGAGTATTGTTTTTGGAATTATTTGCCCATGAGCCCAGTGACTCCCCATCACCTGTGTAATAGCAGTTGTCTATATTTATGTTTATTTACCTTAATACTGATAGGATAGGAACCTTCCCAATAGTAAAGAGGTTTACAAAGGCAGTCATCCTCAACAGTGAGGATGACCACTTCATCACCATGAAAGACTTGGAAAGTATATCTGTTTTGATAACACTAGCACCAGTTTGGAACCAATAGGGTGAAAAGTTCAAACTCTTCATCAAGGGCCTAAGGTCTTATCTGACTGCTGCCTGGGTTTCTAATTTGTTCACTTACTAATTGTGTATTTCAAGGAATGTTGCTTAGCCTTGCCTGGTTTGGCTCAGCGGCTGGAGCATCGGCCTGTGGACCAGACAGTCCTGGGTTCAGTTCCCGCTTAGGGGCACATACCAAAAAGAAAAAGAAATGTTGCTTTTTCTGTGCCTCATCTGCAGTTGACCAACCTCATGGGATTAAATTAGTTAATATATGTAGCATAGAACAGTGACTAATCCATAGTAAGTAAGTAAATGCTAATTGTGTCATTGTGTATGTGCATATTTAGTTGCAGATCCCCCTATTAGATAGTCAGTAAGGAATTGGGGTGGTGAGTATAAAAAAAAAGAAAAGAAATCTTATGCACAGTGGCTTAACACATAAGAATAGTTGTTTCTTTTGAGACATTTGGCAGAGTTTCTGATGTACTTGGACCCTGGAGCCAGACTGCTTGGCTTGGATCTGGCTTCCAGTAGTGTCAGGCAATTTCATAAGTTCTCAGTATCTTATTTTCCTGACCTTTAATGTCAGGACAACAATAATGACAATTTTATAGGGTTGCTGAGGGGATTATCTGGTAATCTCTGTTAACTAATTAGGGTAGTCTAAATTGCTGTAATAAATAATCCACCCCAAACAATGGTTCACATAAGATGGAAATATATGTTCTTTCTTGCCTAGCAGTTCAGTTAGGGTATCCTAGATGTTAGGGTGGCTTTCCGCCTTAGAGTCGTAGGGATTAAGGCTCTTCCCAGCTTGTTTTTCCACCAATCCTCTGAGTAATAAAAGCTGGTGGATGAGAAGTCCTGGTTGTAGCCAGAGAGAGGTGGAGAGTATGGAGAAGGTACATTTCTCTTAAGAACCCCAACCCAGAAGTTCTACCTGTCATTTTCTCTCATATTCCACTGGGGAGAATTTAATCACATGATTTCATCTAACTGCAAGGAATGTTGGAAAATGTGATCTAGTTATATACTACCCTATGTAAAGCTTTAGAAATAGTACTTGGCATACAATAAAGGCCTATTTTTGTTGTTGAAGGTAGTATATTCTTCTTTTTTTTTTTTTTTAATCCTCACCCGAGGACATTTTTCCATTTTTTGTTCAGGTAGAGTGGGAGGGAGAGAGAGGAACAGAGAGAGAGAAACATCGATGTGAAGGGACACATCGAGCGGTCGCCACCCGCACAACCGACCAGGGCCGGGGACAAACTGCAACCGAGGTACGTGCCCTTAGCGGGAACCGAACCCGGGTCTCTCAGGACCACAGGCCGACGCTCTAACCGCTGAGCCAAACTGGCCAGGGCTAGTATATTA